TTTTCTTTCCTTTCCTCTTTCTTTCTTTCTTTCTTTCTTTCTTTCTTTCTTTCTTTCTTTCTTTCTTTTTTTCCTTTCTTTCTTGACAGAGTTTCTCTGTGTAGCTGTCCTGGAACTCACTTTGTAGACCAGGCTGGCCTTGAACTCACTGGAATCTGCCTGCCTCTGCCTCCCAAGTGCCTCTTTCTCTGTCTCTCTCTTCTTCCTTCCTTCTTTTGGTTTTTGTTATACCACGATGACCTCAAAACTAGTGATGTAGTTGAGGATGACCTCAACTTCTCCTCCTCCTTTTTTTTTTTTTTTTGTCACACATCTGCCTTTATTGTAAACAGCAGTTGGGACACTTGTAGCAATGGTAAAAAATTAATTTACAAAAGCAGGGACTTGGTGAAGCTGCCTGGTGGGTACCCTTGGGGACTCATACGTAGATGCCGACCCAGAGCAGGAGGAAGAGGACTCCAAAGCCCATGAAGAGTGACGCCACCAAGGAGATGAGGAGCTCTTTGTAAATGTCACGAGTGTACTTGGTGGAGGTGACCTCATAAACGAAGAACCAGGCGGTGAAGAACATGCCGATGGCCAGAAGTACCACAGTCAGGTGTGGGAAGACGGCTGGGTTGACAGGGCTGGTGTACCTACTCATGGCCTCGAGCTCCATTTTGCCCCGCACACGATAAACCACCGGTCCACCACCGTAAGAACACGTCAGCAGAAGCCTCCTCCTCCTTTTTTTAATCTTCCCTGTGTGTTTGAAGTGTGTGAGGGGACATGCCACGGGGCACTGTGGACCTCAGAGGACTATTTTCCCCAGTGTTCAGTTTCCTTTGATGACCCTTCCCTCCCTGAAGAGAGGGTGCAGGCAGCTAGATGACAGTGAGAGGTGCTCACTTGAAGAGTTTGCCTTGATTGGCAGCTTTGCAGACTGCTGGAAGCCCCTCCCAGGAAAAGTACTCAGGGACTGGGCTGGGGCTCTTTGCTGTGAGGATGCAGTTTCTACCACATATAGACTCAAAGTCCATCTGCCAATTGTACTCTAGAAAGGCAAGCTTCTGACCCTGGAAGACCCACAGTCTGGAGAGGGAGCCAAGGAGGAAAGAGTCCAGTGGCTGGAACATTCCAGCAATGAAGCTGCAGCTCATGAGAGAGCTCTTCAGAGAAGCAGTGTTCAGAGCAGCACAGGGACCAGCCATCCTCATCAATTACTCCCCCAAACACAGCACCTACAGCCACCTGTGCGACACAAAGGCACTCCTGGGTGGAGGGGGTCCCAGGAGCTGGGGCAGCAAGCACTCCTGGGCGGGGGAGGGGGGAGGAGGTGTCTCAGGAGCTGGGGCAGCAAGCTCTCCTGGGCGGAGGCTCTTGATTCTCTGCCCATAAGTCCTTTCCTTTTGTAGGCAGGCTATCTGCAAACTTCTTAGCAAGCATCACACTGGTCCATCTGTCACCTTTTGCCTCCCCCAAGACAGCTCTGCACCAGAGGTGGTTAGTACAAGTAAGGAACCAGTGGTGAACTCTGGGGCAGCCCAGCAAAGGAAGAGCCACAGCAGGGTATAAACAGCTGTGAAATAAGCCAGTGTCACTTGGCAACCGCTAGAAAAGTCCTCATGTTCATGCAAGCACACTGCGGCCTCAGGATTCCCCTACCTCCTCTGTGTTTTCAGTCTATTGTGGGTAGGATGCCCAAGGCTGGTGAGACAATGTCACCATCAGCAAAGCACAACCACGACAGACTCAGCTGTGGCCTCTGAAGTATTTCCCAATCTCCTTGTTTGGTACATAGTGGCAGCATTGCTCCAAAGTGCAGACTTTGCTGTCCCTCTCAATGCTGGAGCCTTGCCGGCAGGAAACCTGGGAAGACGTTTGCGCAGTTGCTTTGCCCAAAGTGAAGTGTCTGGTGCAAAGGGCACACTGACCTGAGCCTCGCTAGTGGCGATGAGGGCCTCGGAGGCCTCTAGTTTTCAGGATATGTATGCACAGCCTCTGCCACCATAGTGATTCTGCAGAGACAGGGAATGGGACTGTAGGGTCAGAGAAGATCTTTGAGGGGTCATCTCTCTCCTTCCACACATCAATGGGCTCTGTGGGTTCAAACAAGGTCTCCAATCTTCAGTGGCAAGCACCTTTAACTACGGAGGCATCTCATGGGCCCAGGCCAGTGATCCTCCTGCCTCTTCCTCCAAAGTGCTGAGATTACAGGTATGAGAGCCACCTTGCTGTTTATCTAGTGCTAAAGACTGAATCCAGTTAGGCAAACACTACCAAACGGGCAACATTCCCAGATACTCCCACTTCTCTTTCTCTCCTTTCTACCAACCCCTCTGGATTTCTCAGCACTGGTGTGGGGGGTGCGGCCCCAGGCTCACACAGGCTTCATATATGGTCTCTCACTGAGTGGCACTGCCAATCCTACCTTTAGGTTTTTCTATTAAAAAAGCACAGATAGATGGGCAGTGGTGGCGCACGCCTTTAATCCCAGCACTCAGGAGGCAGAAGCAGGCCGATCTCTTGAGTTTGATGGAGGTCAGCTTCATCTACAGAGTGAGTTCCAGGACAGCCAGGGCTACACAGAGAAACTCTGTCTTGAAAGGCAAAATATAAAAAAGCACATATATCAAAGATGAAAGGCAACATGATGAAATTTGGAAGGAAACAATTGCTCACAGGCAGCATGTGAACCATGTAGCAAATACCCCGTTACACCCGCAAGCTCTTACGGTACCATGCAAATGGGTCTGTCCACTGCCATCATCTTTGGCTACCATCTCCATCGACTTAGAATCTTCAAAATGGGCTAGCGTCTCATTGGAAGATTTCCATTCAAGTATTAATGAACTGAAATTATCAAACTTCCTCCCATGTTGATCAAATACTGCCAGTTCCAGGACCGAGTCCCTCAGGCTGGACACAGGAATCTACATGAAAAGAAAAGGTCAGAAAGGACTTTTTATAAAAACTTGAGGCCATCAGATCAGCTCAGTGGGTGAAGTCCCTTGCTATAAAATCCTGGATGGATTCTATCCCTGGAACTAACAAAAGATGGAAAGAGAGAATCAGCTTCATAAAGTAGTGCTCTGATTTCCACACACAAACCATGGCACACATATTTGCACACACACACAAAACACATGAACACATACAATAATTTAGTTAATTCAGTAGCCTTAGGGGTTGTTGAATGAGCTGCGGGCTGCGTTCCTGCCACCCAGCTCCCAGCCGCCTGGCTAGCTTATTCCCCAAAATAACGACACACAAACTGTATTCATATAAACACTGTTTGGCCCATTTCTATTAATGTGTGTAGCACCACAAGGTGCGTTTACCAGGAAGATTCTAGCCTACATCCATCCTGGGTCGGAGCTTCATCGCATCTGCCCTGGGGAGCAGCGGCATGGTGTCTGAGCTCACTTCCTCTTCCTCCCAGCATTCTCTTCTGTTTACTCCACCCACCTATGTTCTAACCTATCAGGCCAAGCAGTTTTTTTATTTACCAATGACCTTTCTCCATCAAGGGGTGGCAAGCTACACTTGATGACAGGTATTACATCTCCTCTCAGTCTCCCACTTTGACAGTTTTTAAGTTGACCTGGTCCAGCGCTTGTTAACTTAGGGTGTGTGTGCTTCCTCTTCCCTTTATTCCTCGGCTTCAGGGCTTGGGGGCAGTGATGTGGGAGTCCCCTATGTGTGCTGTGATTACCATTAATGAATAAAGACACTGCCTTGGCCTGTTGATAGGGCAGAACTTAGGTAGGTAGGAAAGACTAAACAATGCTGGGATAAAGAAGGGTGGAGTCAGAGAGACGCCATGAAGCCACCAGAGTCAGGCATGCTGAAACTTTGCCAGTAAGCCACTGCCACATGGTGATATACAGATTAATAGAAATGGGTTAAATTAATATAAGAGTTAGCCAATAAAAAGCTAGAGCTAATGGGCCAAACAGTGATTTGATTAATACAGTTTCTGTGTGATTATTTAGTGGTGGGGCTGCTGGGACCAACAAGCGGCTCCCTCTTCCAACAGGGCAGGTATTTTGTTAGCTGCATTTTGATTTCTGAATGATGTAACTATTATGGCACTTTACACCACCCCAAATATTTCATCATGTATTTCCTGTGAAAGAGAACATTTTTTATATAAACAAACAAAACAATAATACTGTACTTAAGAAAAATATCTTTTAGTTTTATTTTTGGCTATGTGGATGTGTATGTCCACGTGGGTATCCATGCCCACATATGCAGGCACCCACAGGCTATGGGCATGTGTATGTTTATGTATGTCCATGTGGGTATCTATGCCCACGCATGCAGGCACCCACTGGCTATGTGCATGTGTATTTCCATGTATGTCCACGTGTGTATCCATGCCCACGCATGCAGGCACCCGCTGAGATTAGAAGGAGTCATTGAATTTTCTGGAGCTGGTGATTACAGGTGATTACGAGCTGCTGGATGTGGGTGCTGGGAACTGAACTCAGGTCTGCACAAGAACTTAACCACTTATCCATTTCTCCAACCCCTCTGTGCTTAAGAATGCCAACATAAGTTCTAGAGCGATGGCTCAGAGGGCTTTAGAGTGCTTGTGCTGCGAGCATGAGCACCGAGTTCAGATTCCCAGAAAGGCGGCTAGCTTAGCACATGCAAGGGTGAAGAAGAAAGACCCTGTTTCAAACATGATGGAAGGAAAGGGCTGATACTTGTGGTTGCTCTCTGACCTCCACTTGTGCGTCACAGCCCAAGCATGCACGTGCACACACATACAGAGTCAATATCTCAATTTCCCCTATCTATTCCACCAAATGTTTTTTAAGTCTTTTTAGGATTTTTGTTGATTCATTATCTTAAAAAGGACTTCATTGGGGTTGGAGAGATGGCTCAGAGGTTAAGAGCACTTGGCTGCTTTCCCAGTGGTCCTGAGTTCAATTCCCAGCACCCACATGGTGGCTCACATTTATCTGTAATGAGATCTGGTGTCCTCTTCTGGCATGCAGGTAGAGCACTGTATGCATAGTAAATAAATTTTAAAAAAAAAAGGACTTCATCTTTATCTATGTGTATTCATGTATACCTAAGTGTGTGTGTGTGAGCCATGTATGTGCCGGTGCCCAAGAAGGCCAGAAGAGGGTGTTGGATCTTGTGAACTGTGGTTACAGGAGTGAGCCTCCTGACATGGTTGCTGGGAATTGAACTCAGGTCCTCTGGAAGAGCAGCCAGTGTTCTTAATTGTTGAACTACCTTTCTAGCCTTGATTTGACTGCATGTAAGGACACTTAGTCCCCGGGCTGGCTAGTTTTATGTCAACTTGACACAAACTCCGGTCACTCAAGAGGAGGGCTCTAGATGTGAGACAATGCCTATACTCAAACTGGCTTCAGTAACAGGGCCATCAGGAAGGGGGGGGGAGAAGCCGGGGTAACAGGGCTGTCAGTCACTGGAGAGTAGGAAGTGGGGAGGCGCGGTAGCAGACACCTGTAATCCCGGCACTCAGGAGGCTGAGGCAGGAGGAGTTCACGTTTGAGTGCCTGGTTCACCTAGAGAGTGACTTCACCTCTGTGTCACCTTGCTGGGCTTTGTTTACCATGGGTCATCAAGGTACTTGTGCCGCACAAGTAATTTCCCTTACTTATTTATAATGCTAGCAAAAGGTTTGACAGGGGAGATGTCGGTAAAACAATTTAGACACTATTTATTTATAATGCTAGCAAAAGGTTTGACAGGGGAGATGTCGGTAAAACATTTTAGACACTATTTATTTATAATGCTAGCAAAAGGTTTGACAGGGGAGATGTCGGTAAAACATTTTAGACACTATTTATTTATAATGCTAGCAAAAGGTTTGACAGGGGAGATGTCGGTAAAACAATTTAGACACTATTTATTTATAATGCTAGCAAAAGGTTTGACAGGGGAGATGTCGGTAAAACAATTTAGACACTATTCAGGGGCTCATTTGTCTTTGGCCACAATTTCCTAGTACAGTAGACAGTTGTGCTACTAAATGTTCCCAACTGTAACGTAGTTCCTCCTCTGTCAACTGAGTACAAGTACAGCAGTGCCTCTCACCTGACAGCCAGAAGCAGTGTTTCAGATCCCTTATCTTGAAGACACTTGAGACAAAAGCGCCTATGTCTTTGGAGGACAGTCTGCACTTACCAGTTGCTTGTTGTACTGTGGCAGAGGACACGGCTGAGTGCCAGTTGCCACCTTGTACACTGGTGTCACCAGCATGCTGGCAGGGTGGGCACAGATGAAGCGCACCTGCACTGTTTCCACAGAGGGACTAGGGTTCAGGACACCCGGGTGATTCCCAATCCGTACAGTGAGGGCCTATAAGGAAACATCAGAGGGTTATTGACATGTGGGCCCTCGATGGCCACTGTGCCCAACTACATAAGTCAGAATGAACCTAACGCCACTGTAGAGGAGCCCTTCTGAATATAATAATCAGACAAATCTCTTAAAGGTATATGCCTTCCCCACTACACATTAAATAATCTATTTTTATGTGCACTGTTTTGCCTGTATGTATGTGTGAGAGCCAGATCTTCCGGGACTGGAGTTGCACACTGTGGGTTGTCATGTGGGTGCTGGGGTTAAACCCGGGTCCTCTGGAAGAGCTGCCAGTACTATTAACTGTTGAGCCAAATCTCCAGCCCAAATAATCTATTTTTTAAATGGCAGAAAGCAATTAAGAAAGGCACTAGGGCTACCAGTCTTGAAAAACCAAAACCAAAAAAGTATTAATTTATAATATAAATTAAAATGAAGCATAAATTGCATTTTAAAAACGTACTGAAAGCACTGCCCACTCCCTCCAAGTTCTGAGCAGACCACCCACCATCAGTGACTCCAGGGTGGCTAACAACAGCAGGTTCATTTCCTTGTAGGAAGAATGAAAATACCTAAGTTTGTGACTTCAGGATGGACAAGCCGTTCATTCCTCTACTCTTTGGAACTTCTTGTTTTTTGTCTTTTTGAAAAAAATTATTATTTTTAAGAGTTTTAAAATTAGGGCTAGAGAGATAGCTCAGCTGTTAAGAGCACCGGCTGCTCGTCCACAGATCCTAGGTTCAGTTCCCAGCACCCACATGGCAGCTAACAACCGTCTATAACTACAGTTCCAGGGGACCCGACACCCATGGCAAAACACCAATGTACATAAAATAAAGTTAAACAAAATATATTTTAAAAAAGATTCATGCTAGGCAGTGGTGGCGCACACCTTTAATCCCAGCACTCAGGAGGCAGAGGCAAGCGGATCTCTGTAAATTCGAGGCCAGCCTGGTCTATAAGAGCTAGTTCCAGGACAGACTGTGTTACACAAAGAAATCCTGTCTCGAAAAACCAAAAAAATAAAAAAGAAGAAGATTCTTAAAATTGTGTGTGTGTGTGTGTGTGTGTGTACGCGTGCGAGTGCGAGTGTGGACGTGCCCACAGAGGCCATGGGCATAGGGATCCTCTGAGCTAAAGCTATAGGCAGTTGTGAGCCAATTGACACAGGTGCTGGGAACCAAACTCAGGTACTCTGAGAGAGCAGTAGGCTCTCCTTAATCACTGAGACAACTCTCTAGCCATGAAGACGTGTGTGTGTGTGTGTGTGTGTGTGTGTGTGTGTGTGTGTGTGTGTGTAAACCCTGTGTATACAGGAACCCACAGAGACTAGGGGATGATCTCTTGGAGCTGCAATTACAGGCAATTGTGAACCACAGCTACTCAGCAGCCGTGGTCACTTGTGCAGTCAAAATTACAGTGTGGAAATATTTCGAAGTAACTCTTACAAACAGGTGGAAGACTTGTATGACAAGAACTTTACATCTTTGAAGAAAGAAACTGAAGAAGACACTAGAAAGTGGAAAGATCTCCCATGCCTTTGGGTAGGCAAAATTAACATAGTAAAAATGGCAATCTTACCAAAAGCAATCTACAGATTCAATGCAATGCCTATCAAAATCCCAGCAAAATTCATCAAAGACCTTCATATGGAACTCAACTTCATATGGAAAAGCAAAAAACCCAGGATAGCCAAAACAATCCTGTACAATAAAAGAAGTTCTGGAGGCATCACAATCCCTGACTTCAAACTCTACTACAGAGCTACAGTACTGAAAACAGTCTGGTATTGGCATAAGAACAGACAGGAGGACCAATGGAACCGAATAGAAGACCTGGATATCAATCCATACATCTTCGAACACCTGATTTTTGACAAGGAAGCAAAAAATAGCAAATGGAAAAAAGAAAGCATATTTAACACATGGTGCTGGTATAACTGGATATCAACATGTAGCAGAATGAAAATAGACCCATATCTATCACCATGCACAAAACTCAAGTCCAAATGGATCAAAGACCTCAACATTTAGCCAGCCGCACTGAACCTCATAAAAGAGAAAGTGGGAAGTACACTTGAACACATTGGCACAGGGAACCACTTCCTAAATATAACCCCAGCAGCACAGACACTGAGAAAAACAATTAATAAATGGGACCTCCTGAAACTGAAAAGCTTCTGTAAAGCAAAGGACATGGTCTACAAGACAAAACGACAGCCTACAGAATGGGAAAAGATCTTCACTAACCCCACATCAGACAGAGGTCTGAGCTCCAAAATATACAAAGAACTCAAGAAGAACACCAAAAGATCACACAATCCAGGGGAGGGGGAGGGAAAGGAGAGGCGGCGTTGGGGAAGAGACAGAAATCTTTAATAAATAAATAAAAGATCACACAATCCAATAAAAAATGTAGTACAGACCTAAACAGAGAACTCTCAACAGAGGAATCTAAAATGGCTGAAAGACACTTAAGGAAATGTTCAACATAGTTAGTCATCAGACAAATGCAAGTCAAAACAACTCTGAGATTCCATCTTACACCTGTAAGAATGGCCAAAATCAAAAACACTGATGACAACTTATGTTGGGGAGGTTGTGGGGGAAAGGGAACACTTCTGCATTGCTGGTGGGAATGCAAGCTGGTACAAACCCTTTGGGTGTCAGTGTGGCAATTTCTCAGAAAATTAGGAAACAACCTTCCTCAAGAACCAGTAATATCACTTTTGGATATATATCCAAAGGATGCTCAATCGTGCCACAAGGACATGTGCTCAATTATGTTCATAGCAGCTTTGTCATAGCCAGAACCTGGAAACAACCTAAATGCCCCTTGACCAAAGAATGGATAAGGAAAATGTGGTACATTTACACAATGGAGTACTACACAGCAGAAAAAAATAAGGACATCTTGAATTTTGCAGGAAAATGGATGGAGCTAGAAAACATTATTTTGAGTGAGGTAACCCAGACATAGAAAGACAATTATCACATGTACTCACTCATAGGTGGTGTTTAAACATAAAGCAAAGAAAGCCAGCCTACAAACCACAATCCCAGAGAACTTAGACAACAATGAGGACACTAAGAGAGACTTACATAGATCTAATCTACATGGGAAGTAGAAAGTATAAAAAGACAAGATCTCCTGAGTAAATTGGGAGCATGGGGACCTTGTGGGAGGGTAGAAGGGGTTAGGGGAGAGGCAGGAAGGGGAGCAGAGAAAAATGTAGAGCTCAATAAATATCAATAAAAATTTATTAAGTTTATTTATTTATTTTATCTTATTTACTTACTTTGGTTTAAAAAATTACAGTGTGGATGTGAACGGGACCCCAAGGCCCCATAGCTCCATAGAGGAGCCTTTGGCAGTTAACCGCTACTGAGGGAGGAAGAATCCCTCTTCTTTGGAGATATGGTTGTTCATGCCCTAGTGGACACACCCATGTGACTATGGGTGCTTCCAATTGGACCCACTGGGTAACTAACAATACTTCACATAGAGGCCACTGGAGGGCAAGAGGCAGCTCCCTCCACCCCTCTGCTCTATTCCTTGGAGGCAGTCTTCCTCTGAACCAGGAGCCCTGGAAGAGGGTAGGATGGTGTGTGCTTGTTTTTTTCCAGTTAAGTCGGAAGTTGGGTTACAGGTGTGGGCGGGACTGTGTCTGGCTTATTGCATGGGTGCTAGGACCAGAGGTTTCAGACTCTCAGATCAGATCAGAACTTAGTAGCTAAACATGGAAGCAACCAAAGTGTCCATCAATGGATGAATGCATGAACATTCAACACACAGATACACACACACACACGAATGCATATACATACACACAAATATGTATGCACTGGGATATTATATATCATAACTGGGATCAGAACTCTCCAGAACGCCTCATGCTTGTAGACAGAGAAAATGCTCTTAACCCCTGAGTTTAGTTTTTCTAGTCCCTGAAGCTTATTTTTATTAGGAAAACCTTAGCAGACACGGTAGTAAACAGAAATGCTTTTGCTAGGGAGGACAGAGAAAGGGACAGTGCACATTGCTGGCAGGAGTGAGCGGTTCCGACGCGCAGAGAAGTGTAGCAGCCTCAGAACCCTGAACGGAGTCACATACTGTAGGAGTCAGCAAGTCCACTTCTTGATAGTTGGGGGCGGGGGTGGGAGAAGAGTCTTTTCTTTTGTTCTTGTTTTTTTGAGACAGGGTTTCTCTGTGTAGCCCTGGCTAGGAGCTGGGGAGATAGCTGAGTGTGCAAATGTGGGGGATTGGAGTTCGGATCTCTAGAACCTACCTAAAAGCCAAAAAGGCATGGTAGCCATCTGTAATCCCAGGACCAGAGACAGCACACAGGAGCAAGCTGGCTAGCAAGACTAGCAAGGTCCAGGCACAGCAAGAGACCTTGTCTCAATAAATAACATGGAGAGCGATTAGGGAAGGCACCCAATGTCAATTTCAGGCTATATGGGCATCTGCACGTGTGTGTCCGCACATGTCTCAATATAATCTACACATGGCACACAGGGCACATGTGAAGAAGGAAATCAGGCTAAGGAAGCTAGTGAAACCCAGAAGAAAGTTATACGGGCCTGGTTTGGTGGCACACACCTTCAGTCACTGATGTGGGAGTGATTTCTTATTAATAAAGAAACTGCCTAGGCCCATTTGATAGGCCAACCCTTAGGTAGGCGGAGAAAACAGAAGAGAATCCTGGGAGAAAGAAGCTTAGTAGGGAGTCGCCATGATTCTCCCGCTCCAGACAGACGCAGGTTAAGATCCTCTCTGGTAAGCCAGCTCATGGGCTACACAGAATATTAGAAATGGGTTAGAACAATATGTAAGAGCTAGCCAATAAGAGGCTACAGATAACGGGCCAGGCAGTGTTTGAAAAAATACACTTTCCGTGTAATTATTTCTGGGTATAAGCTAGCCATGCGGGCGGCCGGGTGCCGGGGACGCAGCCCTGCCGCTCTTAATGCAACAAGTCACAAAACTGGAGGCAATGGTTGGTAGGTCTCTGTGAGTTCAAGGCAGCCTGGTCTGCACAGCAAGTTCCAGGATAGATAGGGCTGAATCAAGACTATCTCAAAAAGCCAAACCAAACAAAATATAGATCCAAAAGTTAAAAACAAAAACAAAAAAAAAAAACTGGGGGGAAGGAGAGATGACTCAGTGGTTGAGAGCATAGTGCACTTACACATATGAAGGCAAATACAAGTACACATAAATAAAACGAATCTTTGTTTCTTTTTTTAAAGATTTATTTATTATGTATACAACATTCTGCCTCGATGTATGCCCGCACGCCAGAAGAGGGCGCCAGACCTCAGTACAGATGGTTGTGAGCCACCATGTGGTTGCTAGGAATTGAACTCAGGACCTCTGGAAGAGCAGCCAGTGCTCTTAACCTCTGAGCTATCTCTCCAGCCCCCTCTTTGTTTCTTAAAGAAACAAACACTGCAACATCATACCAATGTCAGGCAATGATGATGCGCACCTTTAATCCCAACACTCAGAGAGCAGAGGCAGTGGGATCTCTGAGTTCAAGGCCAGCCTGGTCTACAAGACAGCCAGGGATGAACAGAGAAACCCTGTCTCAAAAAACAAACAAGGAAGGAAGGAAGGAAGAAAGGATGGGAAGGAAGGAAGGAAGGAAGGAAGGAAGGAAGGAAGGAAGGAAGGAAGGAAGGAAGAGGCTATTTTCCTTACTTGTTCTCCTAGCTCCAGGCACAGGACTCGGTAGACATACTGGTTCTGCTTCCTCCTAGCTGGCAGCCGGGCCTCTGTTACTCTAATGCCCTCTGGCTTCTCCATGCTCAGTTCCAAAAAAAATCGGGAAGGCTCCAAGATCCATGGTTGAGGGCCCCCTTCAAATACCATCTCCTTCACAGACTGCCACGTCACCAAGGCCACTTCCACAGGGTTCACAGCCTGAAACAGATTCATCTTACATAGTTAGGGGATTGTTTTTATTACTATCTCTTTAGAAAGAGTCGGGTCTCCCATACTCCTGGATCTGATCCTCTTGCCTCCACCTCCCCAGTGCCTGGATTAAATATCTATCAGTTGGGTGCTGGTGGCGCACGCCTTTAATCCCAGCACTCAGGAGGCAGAGCCAGGCGGATCTCTGTGAGTTCAAGTCCAGCCTGGTCTTCAGAGAGAGTTCCAGGACAGGCTCCACAGAGAAACTCTGTCTCGAAAAACAAAAAATCTATCTCTCACCTGTCTGTCTGTCTGTCTCTCTGCCTGTCTGTCTATCCACCTCTTTCCCTTCCCCTTTCCTCTCAATGCTCTCCTATGTATTCCCCTTTCTCTGATTACTGTTACTCACACCTTTTCTCTATAATAATTTTTTGAGACAGGGTCTCTTCTTTATTATAATTTTTATTTTATGTGCATTGATGTTTTGCTTACATGTATGTCTGTGTGAGGGTATAGGGCCCCTTAGAACTGGAATAACAGGCAGCTGTGAGCAGTCATGTCGGTGCTGGGAATTGAAACCCAGGTTCTCTGGAAGAATAGTCAGTGCCCTTAACCTCTGAGCCACCTCCCCAGCCCCTATAATTTCTGTTTTGAGATTATAATCTTTTAACTTTATTTTTATTATTTATTTTGAAAACAGGTTCTCAGTTATGTAGCCTTGGCTGCCCTGGAGCTTGCTCTGTAGATCAGGTTGACCTCAAACTTGAGACTCACCAGCCTCAGCATCCTTAGTGCTAGGATTAATGCATGTGCTATGGCGCCTGGCTGAGAATATAACACATTTATACACTTTTCTCCCTTCCCCTCCTCCCTCCAACTCCTCTTGTTCTCTCTCAAGTTCATGGCTTCTTTCTCTTTGCTGTTACACACACACACACACACACACACACACATATTTGTGTATATATAAATATATATTCCTAAGTACACAAATACAGCCTGTCCAGTCTGTATAATGTGTGTTTTCAGGGCTGACCATCTGGCATTGGAGACTGTGCTGGATAGTTTATGTCAACCTGAGAGGAGGAAACCTCAGCTAAGAAAATGCCTCCAGCCGGGCGGTGGTAGCTCAAGCCTTTAATCGCAGCACTGGAGAGGCAGAGGCAGGTGGGTCTCTATAAGTTCGAAGCCTGGTCTACAAGAGCTAGTTACAGGACAGGCATCAAAGCTGTACAGAGAAATCCTGTCTTGAAAAAAAAAAATGCTTCCACAGCTGGGCAGTGGTGGCACGTGCCTTTAATCCAGTACTTGAAGGCAGAGGGCAGAGGTTGGTGGATCTTTCTGAGTTCAAGACCAGCCTGGTCTACACAGTGAGTTCCAGGACAGTCAGGGCGACACAGAGAAACTCTGTCTTGAAAAACCAAAAAGAAAAAAAAAAAGCCTCAACAGGATAGAGCTGTAAGACATTTTCTTAATTAGTAATTGATGGGAAGAGCTCAGCCCATTGTGGGCGGGGCCATCCCTGGGCTGGTGCTGGGGTCTGAAAGAAAGCAGGCTGAGCAAGCTGTGGGAAACAAGGTGATAAGAAGCCCCTCTTCAAGGCCTCTGCATCAGCTCCTGCCTCCCAGGTTCCTTCCTGTTTGAGATCCTGTCATGACTTCCTTTGATGATGCGGAAATATAAGCCAGAAAAACCGTTTCCTTCCCAACATGCTTTTTTGTGATGGTGTTTCCTCATAGCAACAGTAACCATAGCTAAGACAAGAACCAGCTGGTGCGCTCTTCCGTGGCGGCACTCTTGCTCCCGCTTTCAGCAGCCTTAGTTGCCTGTAGGGCTTTTGTGTGGGGCTGAGGCCCTGTGAGCTGCTCCCTCTTCTGCCTTAGCACAGATCCCCTCACTCAGGTCATGTCTGGGCAGTTCTAAGGCTCGCCCTGCTTTTATTTTGAACCACTTGTCATAATATTTAATGGACTAACCCTAATGGCCCCAAATAATGGCTGCTATTCTGAAAATACACAAATACGAGGGGTAAATATGACTGACCCCTCTCCCATAGGACAGGAGGTTGCTGAGAGGTAGCTATCTTCAAAAGGAACTGTGCTAATAGTCTGTGTGAGTGGCGCCTACAGAGATATATACATATGTAAAAATCAGATATTACCTTCAAATTAATATCTCATGTGATTAATTTCCTATAGCTTATACCTCATTATTAAATAAGAAAGTTGAATACCTAAAATTTGCTAATGCAAGATAAAGATAATATTATTATGATGTGGGAGTGTCATATATCAATCTGTTGATTTCATTGGTTAAGTTATAATAAACCAGCTGCTTGGCCTCATGGCTGGAACATAGATGGGAGGAGTAAACAGAATAGAATTCTGGGCGGAAGAGGAAGTGAGGTCAGACTCTGCTCTGCTTC